GTTCTTGATTTTTAGAACCTTCCAATTCAAACTTTCTAACTTTCAGTCCTCTGTTCTGCTGGAGAACCACTCAAAGACTCATCCGGCGAACGCAACATGGAATGCTCGCCAACTGGATCCGGAGCCAATTCATGCCCCTCCACTCACTCCTGTGAATCCACTTCCGGCTCGACAACGTTCGGAGGAGTATGCTGTCCACGTCCGCAGTACGTGTGCAAGTTGCCAAGAGAACAGGGTAACTGCGGAACTTACTCCAACCGTTGGTGGTTCAATGCCAAGACTGGAAACTGTGAAGAATTCATCTATTCTGGTTGCCAAGGAAACGCGAACAACTTTGAAACTTACAAAGAGTGTCAGGATTACTGTAGAGATGCCCGATCGGAACCACAATGTATCCAAGGAACCGCTCTTACTGATTCCAATGGAAACTTTATCATCTGCGGAGGATCATCAGCTGCTTCCACCACTTGCCCAGCCAACCACTACTGTTACTACGATGGTACCACTTATGGATGCTGCCCAACTCAAGCCTACACCTGCTCTCTTTCCTACAAATCTGGAGCATCTTGCGGTCCAGCTGTCACCCGTTGGTACTACGATTCCACCACCAGAACCTGTCAAACCTACTCGTTCAATGGATGCGATGGAAACTCGAATAACTTTGCCACTCAACAAGATTGTAAGGATTACTGTAGAGTTGAGTCCTGTCCTGATGGAGGAGAAGTGTGGAAGGAGCAAAATGGAGCCGCCCGTGCTTGTACCACCAACAGACAATGTCCATCTACCCATTACTGTACTCCAGTTACCACCTGGACTGGAACCGTTTATCAGACAAAGAGTCTCTGCTGTCCATCCAAGAACTTTGTGTGCTCTCAACCACGTGACGTCGGAGTCAGATGCTCCAGCACCAGAATCTCCAGATGGTACTTCAACGCTGATTCGAAGACATGTCAGACATTCGAGTACAACGGATGCGAAGGAAACAGAAACAACTTTGCTTCCCAGAAATCTTGTCAAAACTATTGTCTCTCGGAGGCATGCCCACCAGGAACTGTTGTTGCCAAGGATGGAGATGGTTCTCGTTTGGTGCAATGCTCAAATCCAGGTGGAAATGGAAGAGTTTCCGGAGGATGTCCAGATGGATACACTTGCTATTCATCACCACTTTTGGATCAGAATGTGTGCTGTGGAGCTTCTACTGAACTTCAATGTGAGTTTATTTAAAACATCAACTTCTTATCATAATCATCCCAATTTTCAGCTCTCTGCCCAGCTGCCTCCACTCCATTCATCTCTGCTCTCTCCCTTCAACCAATGCAATGCACACCGAACGTCGACGGTGCTTGCCCTGGGAACTTCTTCTGCTGGTTCTCCACCACTACCACTTCCGTCAATGCCTTCTACTGCTGCAGATCTCCAGACAGTGTCGATACTGGATGTAAGCCTATTCTTTGTAGATCTTTTATTCCTCACTTCATGCTTTCAGACTGCCCACCACAACTCGTGCCAGTGCCAGGAGAGAATGGAGCTCAGTACAAGTACTGCTCCCCATCCGCTCCACTCAATGACGCCATCCAAGGATGCGGAGCTAACAGACATTGTCAGTTCTCTACCAACTTGGAAAGATACATCTGCTGTGGACTGGAGTCGGATGTCCGATTGCCGAATGTGTGTCCACCACAGCCAGCCAACTTGGTGCCTGTTGAGTTGGCAGGAAACTACAGGACGTGCAATCCGTAAGTTCTGTGTCTCGGTATGTCCCAAATGTCCCAATATTTTCAGATACGCTCGTGCTGGAACTCCTCAATCGTGTCCTGACAACTCTGCGTGTCTTTACACCGGAAACGACAACGGGTTCATCTGTTGCAGAGTTCAGCTTGGAAGTGGAAAGAGCTAAAAAGTCCCTTTCCCGAATTCTCTTATTTCTTCTTCTTCTTCATTTTGTCGCCATCTCATTCCCACGTACATGTGTATTCAAACAAAAACACTGAAAACTTTGAAAAAAAATTACAAATTGACCTTGTACGGTTTTCAAAACTTTGCTTTCTCGAAAAAAAATTTCCAGAAGAAAACTTTGGAAATTTTTGATTTTTTCCCTCTTCAAAAGATGTCGAATTATTGATATTCAGATGTCGAAATCGTATTGCTATTTTTAGCTCTTTCTCTATGTGTGTTTTTTCTCGTTATTTTGTGTGTTCTTTTGAAATAAAACGAAATTTTAAAAAACATTTTTTTTTTCTGCAAGAAATATCCAAATTCATGATCGGCTGAAAACTGTCAAACTTTGGACCGGATAACTCTTTGTAGAGCTTACATCCGATCCCGTCTTGCAGCAAACCTTTTACCTTAAAACCTGTAATAGAAGAGCCCCTAACTTTCAACTTTAAGAAGCCAGTTTTATTCGGTTCCTGTCAAAGATTTTTAAAAAGTTGTTCAGTGTTAAATTGTTTTAAATTGCAAAAAAATGAGCTCAGACCTGACAGTGTGTTGGCCCTTCTATTATTTTGTCTCGGTTTCTATGAGAGATATCAAAAAAATGTCAACTGATAAAATATTGGTGATATAATGATAAACAATTTATCCGTTGACAACTTTTTTATATCTTTGACAGGAACGGAGAATATTCCGCTCAAAGTTAGGGGCTCTTCAACTACAGGTTTCCCGGTAGTCGTTTACCTGAAACTTCAAAAAAAATTCAAGACTTTTTCTGGAAGTCCACCTAAAAAGTACAGCTTTTATTTCATAATTTCGTCTTACAAAAAGTTCAATAATTTCATAATCACAACGTTCGATTAAACACAGTTTGTTGAATTTCCTCGATCACCGCGAGGTTTTCAGGAGAATAGATTCCCATTTCCTGCAAATGGTTTTGTTTCAGCATGAAGAAGCTCTGAAAATAGAATTTTTTAATATTAGTTATTTGTTTTTTTAAATGTTACATGTCTGTCTATTTCTTCCGCTTTCAGTGCACGCATGAGATCAAGCTTTTGACGACGAGCGAACTGTTGCCAGATCATATCTGAAAAGAAAGATGAAACATCCGGACACACCAATATACTCACCTTCTGTAACCTGTACATGCCTAGGTCTAGTTACTATCACAGTTGGCACACTATTCGAAGAAGCAGATGCTCTTGCTCTTCCCGCTTGCGCAGAAAAATATTCAGTAGTTCCCACATCTCTCGACTTCTTTATCATTCTTGGAGTCGTCCTGATTTGATTCTGAGACGCTGAATCCATCATTGTGATATTACGAGGTTTTCGATGTTCTGTTCTCTCGATACTACTCTTCCGAGGACGAATGTTGAATGGTTTCGGGTTGTAGTAATCTCTGAAGACCTCTCGTTTTGCGCCACTCGCCTTCATTGGATATCTGGATCGTTTTGCGTAGAACTGAGCAATGTCGTAATAGTCGGGAGTGACTGTTTTGGTGTCACGCTCACCGTAGAAATCGGTGAAGCACATGACAGCAAACGATTGACATTCCTGGAAAAATGTATTGAAGGAAAACCACTATTCAGGATAGTTTGTCGGAAATCACATTCCAATATCAAGTACCAAGAGAAACTGTACCTACCAGAAGTGTATTAATTTAAATTTAATTTAATTGAAAATAGTTAACTTCAGATTCTAAAAAATAAACGGAGAATCTGTAATAGAAAGGGTCTTTTAACTTGTAACTTTGAGCCACTTTTTCTCGCTTTCTGTCAAAGACTCGAAAAAAATAGCGAATTGGTAAATTGTTTATCTAAATATCAGAACCGTTTTGTCAGTTGACACGTTTTTGATATCTTGAATAGAAATGGAGATAATTGAGCTAAGACAGTGTGGGTGCCCTTCTATTACAGGTTTTACGGTAACTCCCAACTCACTTCCATATACTCTCTAGTCGCTTCTGTTTCATTTTCACATTCATTGGTCTCTGGACGTTTTGAAATTCTCGCGCCTTTCAGAATATCTTCCACCGATGCGAATTTCTAAAAACCAAGAATTCCCATTTATCTGAATTCAGATGAAAATACTCACAAAAGTGTTCCTCAGTTTTCCCGGCTGATATTTCACTTTCGCCTCCAACCATTGTTTTGGTTCTATGCTATCATACTTGGCGGAACTTATCCCGATTTGAGAAGAGACTTTATTTAGCAGATTCTTCTTTCCAAATGCCTTATACAGATTTGACGATGAATTGCTCAGGTTTAACTTTAAATCAGATGGACGGTGACAGTGCAGTTGGGCACGAATTTGTCCAGGTTCTACGGAATCTGAAAGCTTTCAGGATTTTGTCTGAAGATGTTAGAAATATTTGAAAACAACTAACCACAAGACATCAAAAACAAATCATAAGCAGTGGATCCGAATTTGTTGAGTACTGTAGCATCTGCGCTCCGTTGAAGAAGAATTGGAATAATATCATCGACTCGAAGAAGACTCGCGATTTGGAGGGATGTAATGTGCAAGTTGTCCACCATGTTCACATCGAAATCTCGATCGGAAATCAGGTGTTTGGCCTGGAACGCATAATTGTTAAGTGATACAAATTGTTTTTTAAATCTAAAAGTATACCGCAAATGCTCAAATAGAAGTCACCCCTATACTTGCACTTTGAGCTCAATTATCTTGATTCTTGTAAAAGATATCAAAAAGTGATGAACTGATAAAATGCTCATCATAATATCAAAAACGTTTTATCAGTTCTTAAAATAAAGGGATGGTCTTTTATCAGAGAATTCGCGGGAGGATGCTGAATCGAAAAGTGTTCTTTCGGGGTTTAAAAAATTTTTTGTCTGAGAGAAAGATATCTTTTTTCTTACCGAATTAACACTTCTAACCGTGATCGCGTACATCAGAAGTGTGTATCCATTCTGTGGCGGTGGTCCCGGTTCCCGATCGATTGGCACATCCTTCTTCACTTCCGCCCTCAAATCACTTTCGGCCGTCAAGCCTAAATAGACGAATCGGAATTGGAAGGAACTAGAAGCAAAATACAAAAAATTGCTCAATCACTGTACTAAACGAGCCCCAAACTTTGAAAAAAGTCATCAAGGTTACTGTAGTTAAGAAACCAAATAAAATTTTCGAACCACGATTCATTCTTAAAATTTTCCGAGATTTCTGTATTTCGGAATTCAGTGAATAAGCTTTTTCTAATATTTTCGTAGTGGGCTGAATTTTTACACCGTTTTCTAATGGGTTTTTTTCCCAGAATCTTCCAGTTTGGAAATTCCTTCAAAATGAAAAACTCACGAGATCTAAACATCCTCTTCTCTCTATAATAATTCAACACATCTTTTTTATTAAATGTTTCTGCAAGCTCTTCAGGATACATTCGATACAACGATCGTTTCGTGACACTAGCACCCTTGTCATGGAGGGTACGTACCATATAAAGGCCCGTAAAAATGATAGCCACTGATAGTGCGGACAATCCCTTCAAGCAGTCCATAGTTTCATTCAAATCCACTCGAGCACTGTAAATCTGCTCTATTGAGAATCTGGAAGGCGAATCACTAACTCTGCCAAGTATCCACAAATCAACGGTGACTTGCTAAACGTTGCCACAATCAGTGAAGTAGGCGCCAGTGATCGTTTTACAGTTTCCGAGCGTTTTTCCTCATTCATGATTCTTATCAGTCTTCTGACAACATCTGCATGTCCACCAGCACATGCTAAAGTAAGAGCTGTAACTCCTAGAAATGTCTTCAGATGTGTTGCAGCACCACGTTGCAGAAGAGTGTCGATAACGGGCAAATATCCTTCTCGAGCAGCATAGTGGAAAGCAGTCATACCGAGCTGATTGACTGCGTTGATATTGGCACCATTTTCCAGAAGACGGACTACCTGAAATCCGAATTTTTCGAGATTTCTCTGGTGGACAATAGAAGCTTCAGATATTCAATTATCGTTCTATTCGGTTGCGAATAAACACACAATTCTCAACTTTCAAAAAACCCCACCAATTTATTATTTCCCATAGATGCAGCAATATGAAGGGCGGTAACATGATCATCATCCACAGAGTCAATGTGCACTTTTTTCTCTCGAATCAGAGAATCTATCTGAAAAACAACATTGTTTAAATTTGTATTAATTGTAAGCAGTTTTAATTTGAACTAAAAACAGTGTGTCTACTTCAAACCCAGTTACTGTAAAACCTGTAATAGATGGGTGCCCGCACTGTTAAGTTTGAGCTCAATTATCTCAGTTTCTATGGAAGATATAAAAGTGTGTCAACTGATAAATCATTTCTGATAATATGATAAAAATTGTATCGGTTGAAAAATTTTCAATGTCTTTGACAGAAAATGAGATAAATGGACTCAAAGTTGACGGTTTGGGTGGCACTCTCTTAAAGTGTTTACGATACTTTTCCAGAACTGTGACTAGAAACCAAAAACTTACTTTTTCAATATCGCCAATAAACGCTGCTTCCAAAAACTCCTGTTTCGGAATATCTCGATCATCGATACCATCTGCAGCCGCTCCACTCATAATTTTAAATCCAAATATTCAGATGGTAAGAAATCAATAAGACTGTTCAAAAAAAATGTAATGATGGGAGTGAGAGAAGGAGATTAATAGGAAGGAAAAAAAGAATGTGTTGGTGAAAAAGAAAATCATGAAGACGCAGAGAAATGGAATCCAGTTTGTGATTATTGTGATACCGTCGGGAGAGAAGATAGAGACACGGAAATCATGTTAATTGGATAATAATCAGAGTGACAAAAAAAAACGAGAAATATGTAGTTCTTTGAAAGTTTGCAAAGTTTTGTACAGTCTTGGATACAACCTGAAAAACATTTTGGAGAGGGAAATGAACAGATATATAAAGACCCTCGGGAGGCACACACATTAAGAGCTAAAAGTTAAGATCAGAAATTCGGAAGAAATGATTATCCAACTTTTGCCAAGTTTTTGGTAAATATAAAATCGCTTTTGCTTTGCTGCAGCACATGATTTGAAACTCCGAGAATTCCAAAAATCAGATCATTTTCACAATAGTCCGAGCTTCAGGATTTAATTTCGCCCAGAATGTTCCTAGGAATGGAAGTTGTTACGGTATTTGTTTCAATAGTTTTAAGAACTTGAGTTCTGATTTTCGAACGTTTGGAATATTCAGAAATTTCTATTTTTTCGAAAAGTTTTGGAATGGGAGAAATTCTAAGAAGTTTCGAGTAATTGCAGTAATTTACAAGATTGATAGTCTAAAAAAATTGGATATTTCAAAAAGCCGAATTTTTCGAAATTGCGATAATTCAGAACCATCCGGATTTACGATTTTCGAGAGTTAAGAACATTTGGAAATTCGGAATAATCGGAAACTTTCGATCTTTCCGAACAATTTCAAAATGAATTTTAATATTTTGCAGTTTTAGAAAATTCCTAAAGCTCCGTAAAACCTGTTAAAGAAGATTTACGGGTCCCCTAACTTTCAAATTTGAGCCAATTTTTCGCAATTCCTGTGAAAGATATAAAGAAGTTGTCAACTGATAAATTGTTTATCATAATATCACAAAATAGGAATTTTTGGAAGCCGCGATTATTGGTGATTTTGAAAAATTAAAATTTTGGTTTCTAGTTAAAGTAACTGATAAATTTTTTATCATATTATCAGAAGTGGTTTATCAGTTGACACGTTATTGATACCTTGCATAGGAATAGAGATAGTTGACTCAAACTTGACAGCGTGAGCGGTCCTTCGGTCCTTCTATTACAGGTTGAACGGTAAGTACCTTTTATATAAATCTATCTTAAGAATCTGAAGATCTAAAGACTCTATCCTCAAAGTGTCAATTACTTTCACACCGTGGATCCTCAACATTTCGGATTTTCAAAGAGAGGCGTACATTAACACTCTGGATATAATTAGAGACCCAAGTGGAACTGAAGACGAAGAGTTACTCAACAATTAACTCAACTGTGAAATTAGAAAAGAGACGGGCGGTGCGTTCTTTTAAATTAGCTATGGTTTATTTATCACACAAGAAAAAGTTTTAAAGAAAAAATAGTGTTGAATAGGAAGAGAGGCGGTTAGACAATTTTAAACAAAATTATTTCTACAAAAAACAGAAATACTGGATGGGTGGGATGCTTAGGAATTGTTAATTAGGGTCAATTATAATTTAGGTTGATTAAAATATGACAGTAAATGTTTTTAGAAGGAAGAAAATAAGAAGAAAAGAAAGAAAGATCAGAAATTATGCCAGAATTGATTTGAAAATAGATGGGGGAAATGAAGGAAAAGAAATCACAGGACCGTAGTGTTGAAATGGGGGGAGAAAAAGGGATAATGTAGATTGGGTCAGTACCGTGGATGTCCAAATGTCGACTCCTCAATCTTATCCGAATCCGGTTTTCGTTTCATTCCAACCATCGCTTTTGGGTTCATGTTTCGTTGACGGACCTGAAATTTTTAAATTTCGTACTCCTTTTGGACTACCGAACTCTCTTACCTGTTCTTCTAATTGAGTAATCACAGCGACGGCATTATGTAAAATTCCCAGTTTCGTCTGATTTCTTTCGGTATTCTGGTTATGTTGGGTGCACATACGACCGAGCTCTTTGAACGCCGAGTTGATATCTTTCACGCGGATTCTGAAAGAATTCCAAAATAGAGTTTCAGTTTAAGGGCACTAATCTTATTGATCTAATAGTTTCTTTCCCAGCAAGAAAATGTAACAAAGTATTACGCAACCCCTCCCTCTAATTGTATTTACCTTTCTCTTGCATTGTTCTGGGATCGTCGATCCGTGTCCTTCTCGTCGTTGCTCACAGATTCGTTATCCGAAAGTCTCGATGATGACGAGTGACGTGTCATGGCTCCAGACGATGGTGGAGCTCCTTGCTGTCGTCGTCGTGATCCAGTTCGAGACGCCGACTTCTCGCCACGTCCACCACCAACTCCAGACGAGGAGCTGGATCCGGTTGGCATTCCTTGCATCCCATACATGTCAAAGTGTGGGCTCATGGCGGCTCCGGCGAATTGGTGACCATAATCGGCAAGGTTCGCATCGCTTCCAAGACCATTCTAAAAAAACGCATTTTTGCGACTGTCTCTTTTCCCGTAAAGTCCCTTCTATTAGTCATCAATGGATCCCGTTTAATGGTACCCCCTTCAATGCACTTCTTTTTCTACTCAAATGACCACTTAATCATGCGGACGGTTCAAGGGGGCACAAAATGACCCTTGTGAGTAGCAATGTCCCAGTATCTCAACAAAAAAGGGTATGATTGTCAAAAGATCGGCAAACTTGGGCTTGTTGGACCACACAGATTATGCAACTAATCCATCATCCCCACCTTCTGAGGCATGCCTATTTTTATGTTTACATTAGTGACTTTTCCAAGGTCGGGGCCCTTTCTACAAAATGCCGCACTCTTCTCTCGAACGGCCACCCCGCCAAGAAGCAATCATCTGAATACTAGAGGACCGGCGGTGGAGATGAAAGAAGAATCGGAGAAGAGGGGAGGAGCGGATTATGCATGCATTCAGGAGACAAAAGCACTTGTGTCCTTCGTCTTCGAGATTAACTTGTGTGTTGGGGTAAAACATTAAAACAGTAATAAAAACAGTGACATACCGGCTGTCCATTCTGAGGTGTCTGGTAGAAGGAGAGTTCCGCTGATGCTTGATGCTCGGCACCGGGGAATGGATAGGCGGCGGTGGAATCGTGTGAAGGTATGGGTTTACGGATCCGGATGCCTTCGCGTCGTATCCAGTGTAAGCCGATGGCCACTGGCCGTACATCGAAGACATGGCATCCAGAGGTCCCTGGGGTGGTGGATTTGCCGCTGATACCGCAGGTGGCGCGGCGGCTGCTGCAGCAGCAACAGCGATTTCAGCCGAGGTATTCGCAGAGGAGGATTTCAACTCAACGATCGAAGTTTTCGTATCGCTAGCCGTAGAAGTTGGGGATGTGGTGGTTTGTGGCGAAGGGACGAGATGAGGTTTCACGTCAGGTGTCGGAGCTGGAATGGATGCGGGAGTCGTATCGGCTGGTTGAGGTTGCTGGGGTGGTTGAGTGGCGGTGAGGAAGGCAGCGGCCGAATAGTCGATTTCCGATGGTTGAAGTGAGGGATAAGCATTTAGATGGTATCCTAAAACTTTGTTTAGATTTGTATTGGAAGTCTTAGGGCGAGGATCAGATAAATATACAAACCTTTTTTTGTATACAGAACACAACCAAGAAGCTAGGTTTTAGAATCTAAAAACTAAAGCTTTGGTTCACAAAGTCTTTTTAAAAATGGAAATTTAACTAAACTACCGTAAATGCTCTAAAAGAGTGTTATCTAGCCCGTCCACTTTGAGCCCATATATCTCGGCTTTTGTAACAAAAATAAAAAATTTGTCAACTGATAAATTGTTTATCATAATATCACCAGTATTTTACCAGTTGACAGTATTTTGATATCTCTCATAGGAACCGAGATAATTAAACTTAATAGAGGTGGGCTTCTCATAACGCGCGTACAGCAGATGCTCAAATTATGATTCTAATAGTTTATTCGCCAAGAAAATATTCAAACGCTGGCCTAGTCGCTAACATGTTTTTTCTAATAACCTGATGGTTTGAATATTTTTGAAGGCCGTATGTTTTTTTCAAAAGTTTTCTAAAGCACCTTTTGACGAAATTTTGATCTAGAAATTTGCTCAGAAACCCAATCATTATTCACAGCCCTATAATTATTCCAAAGAAACTAACCATTCCAATAATCAGCCATATTCAGCGCGCCGGGATCCAATCCATACGAATAGTCGTATCCCTGAAGCATCACTGGAGGCTGAGAAATCGCCGCCGCCGCAGCTACAGTCGATGCCGATGGAAGTTGACCAACGTTCGGGTCCGTCATGGTGCTAAAAAGATAAGGTTTAGAAAAGTTGAAAGAAAGAGAAAGGGGAGAGCAAAAGGCACAAATTAGAATAAGTAAGCGAAAACGCGAGAGAGTGAGAGAGTCTGGGAGAAATTGGAAAATTTTCGCCTCTTCTTGGCAACGGCGACGCGGGAATGGAAAGGCAAAACGCAGGTGAAAATTGGGTTAGTTAGTAAATATATATTCATATTTATGATTAGATTTGCCCCAAAAACTAATGGAATTCTGGTTGGGGGAAAGTTTTGAAGGGTTTGGTAGTGTGGGGTAGATCAATTAATTGGACAAGATCTACCCACCGAGAGAGAGAGGGGGAGAGACTTTTGCGTCACAATAAAAATGTCTCCAACTCTAGATGGTTATCATAATGAAGATGTAGATGGTTATCATAAAGAGATATTGATTTGGATTGGGGGGAGAGCTATAAAAATAGGGCAGTCAGGACCATTTTTATGGTGGGGGAAAGATGATGGGTTACCGGGGACCATAAAAAGAGCCGAAATAAAAAAGTTGTGGCAAAACAAAATTGTAAACCCTGGTGTGCATGGCCTTAGGGTGAGGGTGAGGACGAAATTCAAAAAACAGTTTATTGATAGCTTCTGGGAAAAATGGGATCTTCAAAATTTCAGAATCTTGACAAAAAACCCTTGAATCTTGTTTTTTTTTAGACTAAAACAAATTTTAGGAACCAAAAAAGCTCTTCTGATGCTGGAAGGTGTATCTTCCGATTTTGAAAAATTTAGCTCAAAAAATAGGCTCCGCCCCTTTTTTCGAAAAAGCTACAGTACGTAACGTAAAACAACGTTCCCATCGAATTCAGATTTGGCGAGATATGTGGGTGACTGGGTGGCTAAGAATGGTAGTGGGGGGACGGACGGAATGGATGTGGGGACACATACACACATAGACATACACGAAATGAGGGGAAGGACCCCCGGTCTCTCTTTGTCTTTTACCTCCAGGGATACAGAGAGAGTACGGTAAGTGGGAAGAGACGCAGAGTGAGGAGACACTGTAGATCGGTATGGTAGAAGGTGAGAGACGCAGATAAATTGGTGGGAGGAGAGAGGTCACCCCGCCCCCTCTCTCTTCATCCTCGCCAATCTATCCACCATTTATAAAGAAGAGCCTTCTTCTTCTTTTTTTGGGAGGGGGTGATGAATAGAGGGAATATATAGTAGAGGTCAGCTCTCTCGGGGAAGAATTAGACCGAGAGGGGTGGACCATATCCATACAAAAACCAGACGGGTGGAAAAAAGGAAGGAGATGAGTTGGGGTGGCAGGTGGTGAAGGGAATGAAAAAGTTTTGCGAGAACTTTTTGAGTGAACTTTTTTGGGGTGAAGTGGAAAGAAAAAGTTTAGTACTGTAGTCTTAGGAGGCGGAGCCTGAACAGCAGAGATTTTTCCTTTTTTTCACTAGTTTTCAGAAAAGCTTTCAATACTGATTATAACTGATTATCGAACTTGTTTTATCGAAAAACTTCATAATTTGCCGTAAGACCTTTAATAGAAGAGCCCCCACACTGTCAAGTTTGAGCTAATTTATCGCGATTCTAATGCTATCTACCAAAAATGTGTTCACTAATATAATATCGGTGATTTTATGATAAACAATTTGTCAGTTAAGTACTTTTTGATATCTTTCAAAGAAACCGAGTAAAATTGGTTAGAAGCTCTAAGCGAGGTAGCCCTTTTATTGCAGGTTTTACGGTATTTACAACCCCTAGACTTGAGTTTGAAATGATTTAAATGTGAGTCTCACAGTAATAATAATAATTTATTGATTCAGGACTATCAGTCACTTATTATATTACAGTGAGGAAACCGAACATCAATTAACGTCTCGTACCAAAAGAAAGGAGTTACGTAATCATGAAAGATTACCATGGGATACTGTGTTTTTCGGAGGTGCTAAACCCCGTTTCGACGGGACCGCCTTTTATTACCAGTCATTATATAATATAGCTTTGTTTTCGGGAAGAAAAAGGTCAGGATAGGTAATTGGTAATTGGACCTGGGAACAAGGGATTTCAGTGTTTTGTGATCTACCCGACATAATCCAATTGTAGATTTACTGCTCTAGCTAAGAATGCAAAGCTTATTTTAAAATGTCAAAATCGTATCACTACTTAGCCTAGACAAACAACTTATAGTAGTCTAGAGCATAATATTTTCCAGAAAATCACAAAATCATTTTCACCTGCCCCTATCGTCACTAATTGAAAACCCTACTCTGAAACCCTACGAATCAAAATGAGCACAATCATTCCACTTCATCGAATTCGCCCCGACACCATCATCACCCAATTTGAAATTCCTCTCTGTACCCTCTCCAAATCCTACACTATTTCCCCAAAACATATCCAAATTTCTTCAGAATGGAATAGGACGAATGGGTCATCTCATCGAAGATGACTTCGTTTGTATCTTTTCGTTCTCCCACTGTTCATACCCATTGGAATTAGCATAAGAGTTAGCATATATCCTCACCATGGGGGGTTGTCGGGATGATGGGGTGTGACAGTTTTTGCCTCACTTAACACCTCTAGGCATGTCCACAGGTACTTAGGGGGATTAGAGGGATGACTCTTGACAAATTGGATTAAAAAATGGCATAGGTTAACAGGTTTGGCCTACTATGGAAAGCTTACACAACAGAAACGTGTGATGGCTTCTCGTACAGAACTGAACACTGACTTTGAGTTAAATTTTGCTCGCTTTCTGTGAAAGATATCAAAAAGTAGTTAACTGACAAAACGTTCATCACTCTATCAAAAACATATTATCAGTTAAACATTGTTTGATATCTTTTAGAGAAAAAATTGGCCCAAAGTTTGGTACTTCAAATTCCAATAGTATAGGTTCGAAGCCCATACATATGTTCACTTTGAGCTCAATTATTGGGGTTCCTCTGAGAGATGTCAGAAATCTGTCAACGGATAAAATGGTAGTGATATTGAATACATAATTTGTCAGTTGACAAATTTGTGATAGCTTCCACAGGAACCAAGACGAATTGACTTAAATTTGACAGTCGACGAGTGGCTCTTTCACGTGGAACATCGGCAGTCAACAAGCTCTACTTTCGTCCATTTTTTCGGGAAGTTTCAGAAAAATTGAACACCATTAACCTATTTTTTCAACTCTCGAAACATGTTAGTTTTATTAATCGGATGGTTTTTCCGGATCAATTTTGATCACTCTCTGAATGTGAGCCAAATTGATTCCCTAGCCATGAAATTAATGCTACTTATCAAAACCTATGCGATGGGAACATCAAACATACACTGAGCAACCCGTTCTGTTTGCCCAATCCTCTCTGCTCATTCTCCACAATTACCTAATACCCGTACTTGACTTGGGTACGCAGTCAAATATACAAAAAATATATATTAGCTTTAATGATTTAGGGTTAGCGGATTAGTGGGCCCAATAGATAGATAGGAACTGAAATTCCAGACCCTAAACTAGACCGAAATTTCAAAAGTTTTGCGATCTAATGTAATTAGGTTACCTTCTCATTATTGCGGGATTAAATACTTCAAAGGAGTCGTTTAAAATTATAATTTGAAACATCTTGCCCGCCAAGAGAAAAATCCACCAAGTAAAAAAAGTATGCATCAATTTTCTGATTTAAACCTCCCGCCCCGATAGAAGAAGATCCCAAGGACATGGACCGGTCGGGACAGATGGGGGTGAATAGGGGAGAGAGGATGATTTACGACGTGTTGCCAACCGTCCGAACCGAAAGAAAGCATATCTGTGTGTGTGCGAAAAGTTTATGAGCCCTACAATTTGGATATGATTTTCTTTTTGAATATGAGCGGTAGATTTAAAGTAGAAGAGATTTTATGATTAGGGGGGAATCGGGAGAGCCAAGGGATGACACTTTTGGAAGCAAGGTGTAACTATGTGTAATCAAACAATTTTGAGGAACATTTCTGGCGAATGGTATGGAAAATTTTAAAGTTCAAGAAAATTTTCGATAAGGTTAATTCCCGAGCAACTAAAAATAACTGTGGTGCCTCTGTTGGAACGCTAATCGTATGCTTGCACTTGAAGCTCAGTTATCTAGACTCCTATAATATATCAGAGTTTTGTCAACTGATAAAACATTACTGATATTGTGAAAAATATTTTATCAGTTGACAACTTTTTTATAGCTCCTACAGATGTTTAGATAATTCAGCTCAAAAGGCAATTATGAGTTCAATTGAATTCTGGTCGCCAAATTTATCAAAATGAGCTCTTAAAAATTATTACAAATTCAACATAACATTAATCTTTTTAAACATTCAACTTGAGAAAGTTGACACTTTGGAGACACTGACTAGATTAATAGTAAGATATGCGTTAATATTTACAGAAGACGAAATAATCGAGTGGGGCGTTGGATAGGAAGATGTGCATGATTGATGGAATGTCAATAAGTGTCACCGTATACAGTAATGAGAAACTCAATTCATGGGGGTAAGGGACAAATCTAGGCTGTCGTGTTTTGGACGCATTTTCTTGGAATTCTCGTTACCGCATCGAAAAATGAAACTTAGATATTGATAAAAAAGATTAGGTGGTTCAGAACTGTAGCAGGGTCATGGAATTTTGAAAATTTTATATTGAAGCCAGTCAATATCACTTTCTATAGTGATATCTAGCCCGTCAACTTTGAGCCCATATATCTCGGATCTTGTAACGGATATCAAAAATTAGTCAATTGATAAATTATTTAGCATAATATCACCTATATTTTATTAGTTGACAGATTTTTGATATCTCTTACAGGAACCGGGATAATTAAGCTGAAAGATGACGATCAGGATCAAGACTGTTCAATTTTCGCCCGCGCCCAGCCGGGACTCAGGTCGTGAAAAGGTTACGGTGGACCAATCAGTCCGTTCGTTTGAAAATATTAGGTTGGCGGGAAAGTCTTTGTCACTTTTTCAATAGTTTATTTCTCAAAGAAAAAATAACCGAATAATTAA